GTCCCTAATCTGTTTGTTCCATTGAACACCAATCCAAAGGAGGTCCAAGAAATGAGGAACAAGGTTTGTAATAGCAGTAAAATAACTTATTTTTTTGGTCGTCACCACAATTAAGTTGTGTGCTTGTAATGAACTAACTTACTTTGCTATAATGACATTCTGGGGGCTTAGTTCTGGTGTTGTCCTGTCCCTTTATAACTAAATAATGAAACAATTCCTAAGTATCCTGAACTCTTGGAAAAAGTTGGTATTCATGATATGAAGACTAATTTTTCTTAGACCAGTTGCTGGTTACCTCTGAAGCAGCCAGTCCTGAGTTTATGGTAGTAATTCTGTACCCTGATATCGTAGTTTTATATTAGTGACCTGCTTTCCTGTTTTTGTAATACCAGTTGAAATTTTGTGGCCTAGACAAAGTAATCTACAGATCTCTCTCCATATTTCAGTGTACTGTATTATAATATGCTGTGATTGTTGCAGATTTTTTTGTGTCTTTGGAGCTGCAAGTTAATCTTTTTGAAATGAGCTTGCAGTTAATTTTCCTGGTTTTGAATTTCAGATCTTCTTGTCCAGTCTACCAACAGGAAAGCACTGCATGGATTGGGGATTTTTCACTTTATTTCTTTTTACAGTGTAAAATAGACCCTGTTATCTTGTTAATATTTATCTTGTTCTGGATTGTTTTGATACCTCTAACTGATGGCCACATGGGAGTTAGCATTCTGTCAAAGAAAGGCTTTGGGCATGGATTCTAGCAGGAATCTTAAATAATTTGTATATGACTGACAGAACTTATGTTTGGCACTGTAAAATAATAACCACCTGAAATGAGAATTATGGTGAAATTTCCAAGCAGTTTCTTTGTATTTAAGACACAAATATTGTTTTATTAAAAACTTAAATGATGTGACTAAGAGAGTAAATCTTCAAATTTTATACTTTCTCAATGATAAGAAGGGGTAGTAAAGTAGAAACGAGTGAAAAAGACGGGGGATCTTTGTGCTTTCTGAGATACCAAATATTAATAATACTTCTTGTTTGTGTATTTGTATGTATATATTGTTTTATAAATTGAATGTCCTTTTTAGTTGTAAAGTAGAGGTATTTTAAGATGCATGCTTTTCTTCATTTATCTTGGAACAAGAGCCAGAACATTTTAGAAATAATTTTTGGATCAGTTATGAATTCTTTATCACTAAAGGATATCTAATTTAAATAGATAATACCTAGGTTTAAAGATGTGGTTTCTGTTCCCATCTTCTGTATTGAAAGAACTGGGAGGTATTTAGGATGCAACAAAAGAGGTGTTTTTGAGAACTCCAGAGTGTCAGTTTATCCACAGAAAAATCATTTATATGTCCTTTCGAGGATATGTTCCTGACTAGATGCAAAAATGGAAAGTTGTGCAGTGTTTTATTTAGTTTATAATAGTTCTATAAGAGGATGATATTGTGGTGCCATATCAGTAACTAATGGCTAATGACAGAAACCTGCAACTGACTGGTCAGATACAGAAAAGCACATGAGGTAGTATTTCTATTTCTCCTCACTTTTCACAAACTGGAGTTGTCTGTTACTGGTTTTACCATGACCTAGTACTAAAAAGCAAAGGACACCACATTCTGTGGTACTTAAAGACTAAATTCTGAGAAATGTGAGGAAATAGCCAGGAACCTGAACATTTACATTCAAGTGGTTTTATAAGCTCAACTTCATTTGACAGCCCTATGGCCACAGCAATCAGCACTGGTTGTTGCCTGTTGGCAGGTTCACTCACTCCTTTTTCAAATGCAAGAATGTGATCAACTTTTCTCTGTTGCTTCTGTGGTTGTTCATTCTGTTGCTTTCCTTTACAGATCCGAGAGCAAAATTTGCAAGATATTAAAACAGCAGGCCCTCAGTCACAGGTTCTTTCTGGGGTAGTTGTGGACAGGAGCCTTGTACAGGTGAGAGTATTAAATTCCTAAAACTATTAGCTTAATCTGCAATATCCTCTGCTTTCGCCTAATATATCACTATGAAATTATTCTTTAATTGGCAGAGAGTAACTGTTTATAAGGTAAGTCTTAGAGGTAACACCATTGTCTTTGCAAGAGTGCTCAGGGTTAGAAATTTAGAGGCTTCAGCCATGTAGCCCAAGCATGTCTGTGGAGGATGCTTCTTGGTTTTTTTGCTGAATGTAGTGCATGAAATTCAGAAGCCTTATTTATATGGGTTAGATTCTTGTTCAAAACTAGTTGGGCTTTGTGACAACTTTTTGTTTGTTTGATTTCTGAGTTTATCTATCTTGAAGGATTAATACTGGGCACACCAGGCTCACTGTGGGGCAGTCGTGTTTCGTGTAAAATATGGGATTTCATGCTTCGTAATATTGTATTTGAAGAGCAGTTTGGGGGAAAAGCTATTACATCAATGAAACTTAAAAGCAGTATATCTGGATATACAAAAGACTAAATCATAGCTTCAAGTAAAGTAAGAATTAGAGCTGTACAGTTATACTGTATAGCGGAATAAAGCTTTTTATATCCAAGTGCTTTCAACTGCCCTAGATAAATATTTTTTTATATACTTTTTTAAAGATTGGCAAGTCTTATCACAGCATTATTCATGTTGGGTGTCATATATTGTGTGCATGTCAATTCATTGTCATATGCAATTTCATCTACCAGTTACTGTTTCTTTGCATGTTTTTAGCAGGCATCACAATGCTTTTGGTTGATGTTGTAAAGCCCAGGCTCGGTTTGCTCTGTTTACTCAATTTACTGTTGCAGGATGCTCCCCTCTCAGACTGTACGGAATCTATTGAAGGGCTCGATCTCACAGAGCAGGCCTTTAGTCCTGCTAAATCTCTGTCTGTTAGAAAGGTACTGCCCTGTCATACTGCTCTAAATACTGTTGTTCACCCTTCATTTAACCTCTCCTTACCCTGATCTTTTTCCTCTGTTAGAAATTATTTGGCTAGAATATTTTAAAAAATGAAAATAGATGGATCTTCGAATTATGTATATGCGATGATGCAAACAGTTACTTTGCTCTGTTAAGAGTGTCTTAAGGATCTTGATCTTTATCTCTAGAAGCTGTTGAGGAAACACTGTTGATGTTAAGGTGCTGATCAGGTCCTGCATATAGAGGGTTTCTTTATGCATGCTATTAGTGTTGAATTATTCTAATTTGAGATCAATTTGGAGTTAGCTTAATCTCAGCCTGATTACAACAGTGCTATTCTGAGGATACTCTGTGTGTTGTGTGACAGACGCTGTCAACTCTTGATCTCAGAGCACTGGACATCTGGCTTCCTTAAAACTTCCTGCAGTTAACTACAAGAGTTGCTAAGTAATGCCCCACACATGCAAAATCAATTGACTTTCACACTTGTAGTCATGTTTGTGCTTACATAATATCTGTTAAATATGCAATAAGTTCAAGATGTGTGGGCATGTTGGGGTGGGCAGTCCTTGGGGCTGGCTGAATGGAGCAGCAGCAAATAACATTTCTTAGGGCACATCTAGTGTGGAAGCACATGGTATTAATAAGTATCAATGCCTCTTCTGCTCAAGTGTTTTAGTTCAAAGATTTTTAAATCTTGGTTTTAGGCCATGCCAAAACACCTCATTGTCAGAATAGCTTTTGCATGAAAAATCAAAAAAAAAAACCCAGAATACTTTGAATTATGCCATTGTTGGAAACCTTGTGGTTTTAAAACCTACTCTAAATTAATGAGCCAATTTGTGTTACAGATATTTGGATCATACTGAGAATATGATGGTGATGTTTTTCACATTGCAGTTTGTTTTGTCCATATTCTGAAAGGAAAAATAAAAAACACTATTTCTGGATTTAAGACAAAAAATAAAATGAAGCCAAATTCTTCCGGGCAATGCATGGCTTTTATTTTCCACTTAATAATACCTTTGAGGTGAAAAATTACTTTCATGATAATTATCACAACACAGGTGTTTTTTTGATGGTGATATATTTCAACTATTATGTTCAAACAATGACATACCTTTTCTATAAAAGTAGTCAGATAATTTACATGCATTTTCATAGATGGCAGAGAACCAACAAATGGTCTACTGGTTATGTAATTTTGTCTAGTAGTATCCTGTTAGGGTTTAGATGTCCAAATTATTTGGTTCATGTCTTTTGTGGTGTCATGAAAGTGCTTTCTGCCTAAAATAGTGTGTAAAAATACATCACAATGTAAATTACATGAGTAATTATGAAATAGAAGTAGCCTATTTCATAATCTTTATTATTTTAATATAGATTGTGACCTGAATGTATAATAATTTCCTATTTGGGAAAAAAAATAACAACCCAAGAAACAAAATCAACCAACCAAACAAATAAAAAATCCCAAACCAAGCAACCTCCTTCTAAAAAAATGTTATTCATACCAGAAAATCCAATGAACCCAAAAATAATAGCAATAAAAGAAAACCACTAGAGAAATTTCCTTGACAGATTCTGCCATTAAAAAAACTGTGTTTTGTGGAACAAAGGAGGTGGAAGCAATCGTAAGATGCCCACACAAACCTCACCTGCAAATGTTAATGAAACTGAAGAATCCTGTATATCAAGGACTTAGGGACATTTAGGTACAGGACAATTGTATGTTCTCAGTTGACAAATTCTTTGATGCTCAATGACAGTTTATGTAAGAAGTTTGATGTAATTGCAGTAATACAATGTATTATGTTTTCAATTGGCATTGAGATTTATATCAAATACTAATGCACACTATTTTGGATGAAAAAATGCCTCCTTGTGTACAGTATGCATGTACTGCTTTAAATTCCTGTGCCTATGGCTGCAGCAGTGAACACTCCATCTTGCCTTGTTGCTTGCTTTATCCATGTTCTGAGAAGTCCTGGCCATGTTGCAACACAATCTCCTTGTTCATCATGTAATTTTATTCCTGTTCAGACTTGGTTAACCAAGCTTCTGCTGCAGTCTTGGCTGATTGACAGGGAATGTTGGTTATTCTTACCAACAACCATTCTGCAGTCTCATAAGAAAATAAATTCACATGAATTTTCAGTAATTTTAAATAGAAGGGAATTCACCCATTTTGTGTCTCTTCCTTAAGAATGGAAATTCTGTGGCTGTGTTCTTAATGCAGACCCTCTCAGTGCTGCCCCAGGGGTGCCACTGGGTTTGAGTGGCAACTTCAACATGGACAGTCCCTCAGGTGTTTGGAGAAAGGCACTGCATTAATGTCAGATTGTGTTAGGAGCAATTGTTCACTTAGACCATTATTATGAACCTCCTGTCTGATTGAAAGAAGAATTGGCATATATAAAGTGCCAGTTTTGGTCTTATTTATCCCCAAGAACAAGGTGAAGTGCTTGCCTGTTAAATAATATTCAGTTTTGAATTTTTCTCTAAAATCCAGCTTTAGTGTAGAAGCTATAAAATTATTTGATTATCTAAAATTTTCATGTAGGAAATGTGGGGTGCATGTTTAATATGAAGGTATATTGAGTATCATTAGCTATAAATAACTTTCCCGTTGTGTCTGTGGGGGTGTAAGCCCTTACAGAGTGAAAATGCATTCTCTTCATTAATATAATCTATCCAGTGTTTCTTACAGTGGAGAAAATGCTGTTGATATTTGAGTGCATACACATGTGATTGAATTTCAAATAGTCATCTAAATACTTTTGGAATCATCATCAAAATAATGCTAGGAGCAACATAATCCTGATGAGATCACTAGAATGTTAATTTTTTTCATGTCATCTTATGTTGAAACAGAGTGTGAGTCTGTGGGAATTTATTTCCTCTCTACAGGCTGTTTAATACTGGAAGTAACTGCAGACAAATTTTCTTGTTGGGCTTTTCTGAGCATTCTTAGTAATCTCTGAATGGCACAGTCAGGTTGATAGCTCTACAAAGTCTTGTCTATTTTAATGTCACATTTAACAATTAGAAATATGTTTTGTACTGTCTTTTTAGTCCTTTATACTTGTTTTCTTTCTGTCCCATGTTTCATTTTGTGTTGTAGATTTTTATTTGAATTCTTAGAAGGCTGCTCTGTGGCCTATTCTGTGAAGTAAAACATAACTGCTTCTTGATTTAGAAGTAATGATGGTTTAGAGTAATCATACTGGTTTAGAGTAACCATATTGCAGACCGTATTAACATATTAGTATAATTTATTTCCCACATAGACTCAGTCCATCTGCCAGTATTATTTATATTGGTGGCCTTTGAGCTGCTTCCATATTATTGATATGAATAAAACTGGATGTGTTAATCTGGAATTAGCTTCCAGCTGATCAAAAGTTTTCCGTTCTGATCTCTTAAATAATTTTTCTGCTTTTATGATCCAGCATTGTTGCCCCTGATCTTTTCAATGCTGCTTCTCTTGGGTCAAAGCTACTCAGCAAGTACAAATACTGTTTGTGTTGACTGTGGGTGTTTTTTGTGAGGGTTTCATTTTGGTTTCTTTTTTTTTTCTTTTCCATCTAGTAAATGTGATAAGCTTGATTTGCTGCTTTCATTCCCGGTATTTAACAAAGGTACTCTCCTAAGTGGAACACGTCATGCCAGTGCCCCAGGCATCTGCAAGCTGCCTGTCTTGCCGTTTGTCACCATTAAATCAACAGACACTCAGTAACATTGTTTCATTAGAAGTTATTCTACCCAGTGATTCTGGATTTAACTTGCAACATTCAAATGTTCTTAGAAATTCCAGAGATACTGATGGGTACTGGATGTCTTGTTGTTCTCTTGTTCTCAGGAAACTCTAGAAACTCTGCCTGAGATCTGTGCTTTACAAGGTTCTGCTACTTATGCTGAGTTGCAGTTAAAACTATGGACTTAGTTTGAAGTGTGGGCAAAGACAGGGAAATATAAAATTTCCATGGGCATCAGTTTTCTGCCATCATTAAAAGCTGAGACACTGCAGCTTTAGGGATGTTTTGAGTTTTCTACAAAACAATTAGGATTTGTACAAAGGTTGATGTTTCTCTGACCCTTTTATGCATTATCTTCTGAGAAAAACTGTTACTATCAAATCAATGCTTCATGGATATAGTTGAGAAGAGGCTTTTGACATTCTACTGACATTCTGCATATGAAATGAAATTAACTCTTATTTTATGGAGAAAGGGAAGTGATCTGTAATGTTTTCAAGATGTTTCTCTCCCGTAGTTCCTTTCAGGGTCTTGCAGTGGAGATTGTTATGCTGTTCTTTGTACTTCTGGTTGGCATTTGCTTCCTGAAGAGCAGCATAGATTCTAACAACCATCTTACCTCCCTGGATTGCTCTAGACCAGATATCTGGAGATCTCTCATCAGGCTTTCAGAAGTGCTCTTGTGCTCCTTCCACCCAGACATTATTGTCTGTCACCTCTTTGGTGCTGACATCTTGTCCAAAGCAGTTCTTGCCATCTAAAATGTCATTCTGTCTACTTGCATCATCAGTTTTACAGTGACCATCCTGTGCTTGTCCATGCAGTGTGGACATGGAATGGAATATTTGTGCCTCTCTTCAGGCACTGCGTATTTTTGAACTGTGCTTTCTAATGCTTTCTTCTAAATTTTGGTACAGACAACATTTGAATGTGGAGGTGATCTAGGTCATCCAGTAGCCCATACCTATTATATAATGGAGTTCAAATACCTCTTTTTTATAATGAAGACTGTTTGTCACCATGACATGGGGCACGGGTCACACATCAGCTGTTAACAAACTAGTGTCAGAGTTCTGTATATCCAATAGAAAAAACAAATGCTTAGGCAAGTCATTTGAGAGATAGAGCAGCTATCTCCAGGCAAGCATTTTCTGTACCTGAGACAATGAAAATCCAGTGGCTGTAGCCTTTACTATAGGATTAGAGAAGAAAAACTAAAAACTTTAACATTAGAGAATCTCTGATGCAGCTGTTTTTGTCCACTGAAACTTACTGTACTTAGAACTGCTTGTTATATTTTTATTTGTATAACTTTTTATCTGGCTTATATGACAAATGTTATAGATGTAAATATGCTAACTTGTATCAGATTACAGTTAACCTTAATTACTTTAAAATGGTTTATAATAAGCTGTTAATCTGGTGTATACAGAACATATACAAGATGGCTTTTTACTATAACATCTGTTAGGTGTAATGTAGTAGCTGCTAGAAATGGGTTTTCTGTTATTAAAAAAATACAAAGCAATGCAAAAACCCAAAGCAAAATAATAATAATAATAAACCAAAACAAAACGAAACAAAAATACCCATGAGCTGAATTCTTGACCCTTTACAAGTTTTCTGTGCCCAGACTGCCATGCAGGTGGGCATGGTATCATGTTTCTTTTGTGGCAAGAAAAAGAAACTTGATGTACTTTTATGACTCCAAATACAGTTTAGCTAGACTGTTTGATTAACTGCTTAATGGTGGATATTCCCTGGTGGAGACATGTTTTCTCCTTTATATAAACCTCCTGTGGATCAAATTTAAAAAAAAAAAACCTGTAATGGATTTTTTTTTAATGTAGAACAGGAAAAAGTAGCATTTTCCAGGTTATATTTTTGTTTTGTTTTTGGTTGCTTTGTAGCCTCTATATCGCTAAAGGTTCTGCAAGTTACTGCTTGATTGCAGATGTATCTTAATTTCCTTTTGCCAGGGAGAACTGGTGACTGCATCAAAGGCAATAATTGAGAAAGAATATCAACCAAAAGTTATAGTGAGCACAACAGGACCAAATCCCTTCAATAAACTCACTGATCGAGAACTGGAAGAATATCGCAAAGAAGTAGAAAGAAAGCAGAAGGGACCGGAAGGTTGGTTTCTCTGTGTGTGTTTTTTCTGCAACAGACTGTAGTACCAGAGAGTTTCTTAGTAATTGGAAGGTGGGTTTCCTGCAAAGGCTATAGATAAATTACTCAGCTTTTGTATGTTTCAGTTTTTCCAGTGTGAATTAGAAATTTGAGAAGTATATTAGAGATAAAATGTGTGATCTAAGTGTTTTAAGTGTGTTCTGTAAAATGCATAGATCCCACTCTAAAATTGTCCTTATAGATAAGCTGTGCAGTAGGGCCAGTTACTCCTGTTGGTAGGAAGTTGAAAGCTTGGAACTTCAGTCAAAAAGGTATTTCGGTACTGATTTTGTTCTGCTGTGTTGCCCTTGGCCTTAGAGCCTAGGCTAAGGTGAGGGAATGGTGGTGCTTTATAGCAGCAACACTGCAGGTTTCTAAGTCATTGAAATTTGTGGATTTGAGAAATACGTTGAATGGAGAAGATACAGAATAACATTGATTGTTGCTTGGAAATGTGACATCTTGGGGACTTCTACCAAAATGGATTTTCAATTATCCTAGATTTATGACAGATTTGTGCTACAAAATGAGGCTGTTGATGCATCTGAAGTGGTTCTCCTGCTTCACTTTTGTATAATTTTAAGGGATGATACTTAAAATGCTCATTTGCTGTGAGGTTTTGAATTTGAATGATGCAGGAGCACACAAAGTGCTGTTTGTTTTGCAGCATGTGTTCCCTGCAGCCGATTTTTGGGACCACAGTGTAGGAACCTTTGTGTTTGGTTTATGAAGTACTGGGTGGGGTGGGGTTGGATGCTGTGCTGTCATGCATGTTTAACTGCATACCTTTATTCTCTCAGTAACAATGCCACATCCTTCTTAGATAAGGTATCAAAATATGGAGAGACTGTGTTACTGAGACAGACACCAGCTGGGGAACAGAGTGCAGTGCTTAGAAATCAGACCATCAGTGAGCAAAACACGTCAGATAAAAAATCTCTGGATTTGAAAGGCAGATCAAACACCTTTCAAGGAACAGATACGAAGACTTTACAGGATTGTGACATATCATCACTGTCTAAGTCTTTAGATAACATTCAGTTTGCTGCTGCACGGGTTTCTTGTCAGACCATGCAGCAAATCATCCCACATCTAAATGGAGAAGAGCCAGATGGGCAGAAGTCCTCCCATAAGGAATTTCATACTGCAGTGATCAAAGCATTAAGGTCCGATCCTGACCTTTTGGCTGAGGCCTCAGGTATTACTAACATGATACAGCTGTGCTTGCAATCCAAGGAACAACCTCTTTATCTACACCATGTGGAGATTCTGTCAGTTGACTCTCATCTAGCTTTAGTGTTGTTCCCAATATCTGGTGTACTCTATTAATGTTTTCCTTTGGATCTAGGGCTATTTAAAGCTGGAAGCAAGGGGGACCCTGCTTACTAATAACAAATACTCAAACCACTGTGAAATCTGTTTGGAATCATATAATTACTGCATGTTTTTCTGATTATCTGTGCAGTCTTTTCTTTTGGGATGCAATTTTGTTTATTCCAAATTTCAGCAATACAAAGCAAGCAAAAGAGTGCTATCTTGTGTAGGCTTGGTAGCATATCCCCTCCTCCATATTTGTTTATATCTTGCTTGTGGTTTTTCCTTACAAGTTTTCTTTATAACAGTAGCATAAACCAATTCATAAGTTATTTCATTATTCATGCCCTCTTAAATTAAAAAAAAAAGCCTCCAAAAAGAGCTACAGAGCACAACAACTTGACCCGTTTTGTTAGTATCAAACTATTGCTTAATTTTCTTTTGCTTGCATTGGTATTGTTTAATATCCTGGCAGAATTTTGATTCAGAAAAATATATTGGTATCTTTCGTGCATGGAGCAAAAGGACACTTATTTTCTTACATGCTGAGAGGTTTTATTTGCCTTTTTAATTTCCCTTTGCCTACATCTGCAGAGCCTTCAGAAGATGGTAGGCCACAGAAAGAGAAAAGCCTCCCTGACCCCAGTTCAGCTCGCACTCCTCCCAGTACGCCAATTAAAATAGAGGAAGGTATGTTCTGCTGCCGTGGGGGCCAGGGGAGCCAGTAACTGCATCCTTAGTGACTGACGCACGGGAGTACATGAACTAGAGCTAATGACAGTAAATGACTTCTTGTGTTTCATTGTTGTACTACTTACAAGATACTCCACTGAACTGTGAGTCTAACAGGAGTTTTGTTCACAATAATAAAGAAGTGTGCATTAATATAAAGACAAATTTCCATCTCTTCAGAATAGCCTTGTCATCTCTTGGTGTTTCTCAACTGATTTACCTTTTTGTACATTTTCTGTGAGATAATTGCTCTTACTAAATGAAATAGTGTCTGATGGTGAACCAGACACATAACTAGATGCTTTGGTAAATCTTCTTCACTGATTGCACGTTTCTTAAACATTATTGTACTTGGATTACACCTCAGTAAATATTTTTCCTACTCAATTTGAATCTAAATTTATTTGCTCACCTTATGTCATAGCTTTAACTAAAATGAGAGCAGGGTTGTAAAGTTGATAATTCCCTAAAAAAAGAATAAAATTATAATCTTGATCAGGTGTAATCCAATTATTGTCTTGTTTCCTTTACCTTGTACATTGGATATATCATTTGTCTGTTAGTCTGCCATTCACTACTTCATCTCATTCTGTTTTCTACAAGAATGGTTGCAACCATTCTTCTAACGTAACACAATGGCTGTGATGAATGCATAGATTCTCTACTTGTGCTTTTTTCTTCTTGTGGCTGCGTTACAAACAGGAGATGGATATGCTAAAGAATACCTGTTACCATAGTAAGTATCATTCCATACTCTGACCTGCTTTTGTGCTTTGCTTCACTCTTGCATCTTTGTTTACTAAAATTTTTTTTGTTTTGCTTTTTTTAAAAAAGCAGGCTTCTTCAGTTGAGATGTTGATTTCTTTAGTTCTCAATTCCATGTAATTCCTGGCAGTTGCAGATCTCATGTTAAAGTGCACTCCCCCTTTGAGAGAGACTGTGAAAGTCACCTTCCGTGTTTCCATATCTGTGTGTCCAACTCCTTAATTTAAAAAGGAATAGTCTGAAGTTGCCTGGCAGATATAGCTGAAACAGCCCTGGGAGTTTCTGCCCCAACACTGCTGCTGCCCACACAGCTCGGGCTGAAACAAAGCGGAAGAGTTCCTAATCTATTCCTGAGCAAAATCCACTGACATGGACTTAAGTTTACTCAGCAGACTTTTGCATGGAAATGGATATGGGACTACTCCTAAGTTTTGTGTTAATTTTAGGGAATTTGAATTCCAGCCAAGGAATAGCAGCAAGTACTTGGTGGCAGCAACTTCTACAGCTGTTTTGGCTGGCTCTGCAGGGCTCCTTCGGATTATGCTTTAAAGGAACAATGATGTTTGTATGTCCTGTTATATCCAAAAGTCAGTGTGTTTGTCATAGGTGTGAAAGTCAAACTATATTGTAGACACCTGTGATGTTACTGATGAAGTTCTAAAACCTGAAAGTTCTTTTAAACCAAGAATTGTGTTCGACAAACTCTTCTAGTTGTGTAAGTTTTCCAGGACAAACATACAAAGCTTATTTTAGAGAGTTAGTGGAAGTTCATACCATGATGACTTCGGTTGGGGGAGGTTCTGTTGAATGAAAATGTTCTCAGTATACAACCTCTTCTCGACTTTGATTCATCATATTCTTTCTATTTAAGTGTAGCTGAAATCAGTCAAGTGGTTTTTTACTCAGTTATAGCCTAGTTTGTATGTTTGTCCACATCTTTGTGTTGAAAAAAAAACCAAAGCCCCATAAACCTTTCTTTTAATTGATTATGTGAATTGTAAATGCACACCAGGGTTGATGTTGTGCTTCAAAATCTTAAGCTACAGTATAATTTATATGTAAAGGGAGAGCATAGATGGTAAACATTATTATTTAAAAAAAGCTTTTAAAATGTTCAGGTGCTGCTGAGTTATTAACCTGTAAATAAGGTTTTGCAGCAAGAAATGTGTTTTTAAAGCTTTTTAGTTATGTTACTGAAATCCATCCAGTAGAGTAGCAGGGTGTTGACATATTGTGTTCTGGCTTAATTGAATGTGGAATTTGTAAATCTTCCAAATTCCGGTAAAATATTACCCTTAGCAAAGTAGATAGAGATGTTTCCTTGATTCCAGCATCACATTAATCTTTTTATTAAGGATGATGGGAACTTGACAAGCTGGGAAGGCAGGCAGTCCTGGGTTAATGAGTTATAAACCCATTTATATTTATTCAATGCTCAGGCCAGCTGGCAAATAATATTTGAATGCCTGTAGTTTCCTATTCTCTAATTTGAAGGATCGCTAGTCCCTTTTTTAGAACTTCAAATCTTTTAAATTTAACTTAAAAAAAATATATACCTGACAGTCCAATATGATGCCTGTTTTAAAATTTGGGCTAACTAATGAATAGAATATAATATTTTTAACTTGTAAGGGACCTGCAATGACCATGGAGTCCAACTACCTGATCCAGTTCAGGGCTGACCAAAAGTTAAAGCTAATTGTCCTAATGCCTCTTGAACACTGACAGGCCTGGGGCCTTGACCAGCTCTCAGTAAGTGGGAAGCCTATTCCAATGTCTGACCACCCTCTCAGTAAAGAAATGTTTCCCAAAGTCCTGTCTAAACCTCCCCTGGTGCAGCTTTGAGCCATTCCCACACATCCTGTCACTGCATCCCAGGGAGAAGAGCTCAGCAATATTTTCAGTTAATTCCTGAAAAGTCCAAACACAGGGTGGTGGTAGTGAAGAACTGTAATTGTTTCTTATGAATTTATGTCTGCCATACATAGACAGGCTAAACTACAGCCTCAGGAGGCAGCTTGTACTGTACATAACTGCTTTCTCTTTTTTGCTCTGGCTTAAACTCTGCCTGCTCTATAACTTTTAAACTGCTAACTTGTGCATTCCGAGTGTTTGGCACTGGATACTAGTGTGGTGTTTATTTAACCTATTAGAAGTTCGTGGTGCTCTAGGCAAAACATGTTTGTTTCCTAGCAGGTATTCACAAAACAGAGCTATCTAAAATATATCAGAGAATTATTAATCCCATCTGACAGAAGTAAAAAGAACACTGTCATTTTTATAGGAAAAGTATCAAGTATCAAGTATTTTCTGTAAATTCTTTTCAAAATTAAAACAAACAAGATCTTGAAAGGAGGAAAAAATAGTCGCCTTTCATTTGTGCCTCACAATGAGCATGGCCTGGATTTTGCTCTAAATTCCTCCTTACGTAACATCAGTGGGGATAGATGTGGCTCAGCTAACAGGACACGGCTGCGGTGCACGGAGAGCACTGCAGGGAACTCCACAGAGTGCTCCTTGTTGAACCCATGCACAAAGAGGAGCCTTAAACAGAACCTCCCTAAAGCACAGCGGTGAGTGGGGACAGTGTTGCAGTTGAGGGAGGAGTGGTTCAGTTCCCCTTTGGACATACAGCTGCCACTGGACTTCTGATGTTCCCTTTTACAGGGTGAGTTTGGCTGTTGACATCACATACAATAAACAAAACAAGCTGTATTGCATAACCTGCTGAGCTCATTTAATTTGATAAACTACATGGATTTTACTTGTAGGAATCCATAATATGTACTCATACCTTGCCCAAAAAAGTGAAGCCTTTGTGATAGGAAATGATATTTTGAAGCAACATCTGTTAGATCTCATGGAAGAATATTATGAAAATCCCTTCATTGGGATTATAAATTGGCAAGCCAACAATTCAGAAATTAATTCTAATTGCATGTATGGGATTTGCATGTATGGGATCATTGTAAATCAGCAATTAGTTTTATCTCTCCAAAAGAAATAAGAATAAAAGTATGGAATTGCAAAACACTCTACTCAATGTCAATGAAAACTGCAGGTTTAATTCCTGGTTTATTGCACTAAAATAATATTTTGCCTGTAAATGTCATGAGTAAAACAGGAGCGAGGTCTGAACAGTTACTTTCTTGCTGATGTAATTCAGCTTTATCTGTTCTGTGTGAAGAAGCTTAAAAACAAACAGAACTTTGGAATTTCTTACTACTTCTGTGCCCAAAGCTGGAGAACAGCCCTATTACAAAGGCTTTCATGCAAAGTAAATATATTAGTTTCTTGTAGAGCGCGCTCACCATCCACTTGCTTCGCTTGCCCTGCTCCAGGGACACTTTTGTAAACTGACTGTCACTGTCTGTCTGTCCAGAGACACGGCAGGACCAGACCTACAGAGATGACAGTGATGCTGCAACCTTCAAGCAAACCCTCCCAGATCTCACCCCCGATGAGCCTTCGGAAGCACTCGGCTTCCCTCCCTTAGGAAAGGAGGAAGGGAGATGTGATCACGATGTGCCCAAAAGCCAAACAGAACCACCTGCAGTGGAAAATAAGGAACCCCAGTCCCAACCCACTGAAGAGCCAGCAACGCCAACAGCTGAGGAGGGGACAGCAGCTGATGCAGGTAGTGATGAATCTCCAGGGAAGTCCCCATCGAAAAAGAAAAAGAAGTTTCGCACTCCTTCCTTCCTGAAGAAGAGCAAAAAGAAGAGTGACTCCTAAAGGCCAACCCACTGCAGAAACACTGTCATATTTTGAAATCCATTAACCACTAGAATGTACCAGATTGTACTGAGTGTTTTGTCTTACTATGTAAATGAATGCCACAATTAATCCAACCAGCCCCTCAAGTTATGGCTTGATTGTTTAGGGTTATAACCAGAAACCCATGTCCAAAAAGGTGCTAATCCTGTGTGTTCAGCAGCTGCCACAGATCTGATCCCTAGTTAGTAATCAAATGTAAATGACTTCCATTGTGGAAGGCATTGATTCACTATTTTTAAATTAAAGCCTGCACTGCTTTGCAAAAAAAACATAAAAAATTCACAATTAAAAATAGAACACCCATTGCTTACCACAAGAAGTGTTTTTTCCAGTATTCTGTTCCAAGTCACAAGTAAATTTCTTAAATTTTGACTTTTAGAGAGGATGCTTTTGCAGTGGTGTTCTCAAGGGGGGTGAATTCTCAAACTGACATGTAAACTTCTGCAAGCTTGTGAGTACAGGTTGTGGTTTGGCCAAGCTTTGAGGCTCTCCATTGCTTCCTCCCTTTCTTCCTTCTCATTGTTGTTACAAAATGAAGGTGTTTTTCACTTTTGTTTTATTTTATAGCTGGTTGGTGAAATCAGTCTTTGATGTCTAGGACTGAGATGTCCGTGGTGTGTCCTGCTCATGTTGTGTGTTCAAAGAGCCCAATCTTGGTCTGTTCTTTTTTTTTTTCTTTCTAGTGAATTACAGTTTAAGGGAAATCTGTCTTTGCTCTTGCCTGGCTGAATCATGTGGTGATTTGGCTGTTAGAAAAGGTTAAAAAGTAACTGCAGTAAAAGTATTTCAGAAGTTTTTCAGCTGGTGGTGTGGAGCATGGGCAGGTGTATTTTGGGCCTTAGCACAGGTTTTTTTTCATCCTCTTAAAAATCCTTTTGTTGCACATGCAACCTTGCTGTGCATGAACCCCGTGTGCAGCCTTTTGTGTTTGTTCCTTCCCATTGATAAAAATGTAAATGCATTACAGTGAGTATTTCACCTTGTTTTATAGTAATTATATTTTCACTTACAAAAGCTGGCATTTCTTTGTTTATGTTGTTGCCAGCAGTCAAGTACAGAAATCCCATGTAACCTTAAAGGGTGTATTTTCACCGTTTGCTATAAATGTTTGTTTAATGTGCAGCATGGCAAATCACTCTCGCCACTGAGTTCACTATTTCCCAGTTATTGCCATGCTTCTGTCTATCACTAATTATTAAAGTAGTTTAAGATCAGGTAGGTCAAGCTTGCGGAATTCTCCAGAAAGCGGGTGCCGTTCCCCGGCCCAGGGCTGGCGGGGCAGTGACCAATTCTGGTTTCTAGAATTTGCATTTTGGGTTTAACAGCAGCAAACCCCAACACCCCATGGGGGTAAGGGCAACACACTGACTCACAGGAAGTGTCTGTAACACAGCAGAACATGGATGTAACCTTTTAGGACAATATTAAATGTTGCAATTGGTAAAATAGCAGAGAACTAATGCCTTACATTCATGCAGCAGAAAGCACAGAGGGCCGGGCGGGTGGAGCGGCTGGAGGCAGCTCTTGGTGGGCAGAGCAAGGCCTGTGTCGGGCTGGGAGGTGCCGATGCCTTGGGCTGGTTTTTGAGAACAGCTGGAAGTGGAATTGAGCTGTCAGTGTTCAAGTGAGAACAGAGGTTTCGAGGTGGCCACTGGGACCATGGGAAAGGTGGCGGGGCCGGTGTGGGACAGAGCAGGCGGGCACTGGGCCGGAGCCCCCGGACAGCGACACTCAGGCAGGACTGCATGGCACGAATGGCTTTCAGCTTCTGCTCTAACACTGTATGTCCTTGTACACTAGGAAGCAAACAACACTTATTTTGCTAATTGTGTTTTATTGCAGGGTCGTAACTAAATGACTAATTGCTGTATGTTTCAGTTCTTTACTGAAGTCCCTCCATTTATCTTGACCACATATGCAATGACTCTTAATTTCTAATTTTGTAGTTTGTTCTTTTAGTTCTTTGTATTACAATATGAAATGTAGTCATGTATGGTATGGTTACACACTTTGGGGCAGAATAAAGTCCTGTATTTTTCTTTCTTTCTTGTATCATTAAGTTCTACTCACAAATAAAACTTGGAAAAAAAAATCATGCTCTGCTTTCAAAACTTGTATATTTTTATTCCATAGCCTCAGTTGCTTAGTTTTGTTTTAATGATTAATGTAGTGTGTTGATTAACGATGGCTTTCATTCTCAGAAAATACTCAAATTGGCTACTGCAGGGCTCCCTTCCCAGATTCCCAGCAGTGGGCAGAACATGGTTGGAGGTTCCTTCCCCCACCCATTAGCTGGGGTCAGCACAGTGCTGTCATCCATGGCTGGCTCCCTCAAGGAAGTCTTTGGCACCTTGGGTAAAATTCTGGCTCCTTTTTGCCTCAGCCAGACAGGGATGTTCGGTTCAGAGGGGTGTAACAACTGTAATGAACTGACCACAGGACTGTTCAATGTAACCGTTTATTGTAATGCAAAAAGAACAGGGCTTTGTCATCAAAAACATCACACAGTATTAGAAATATAAAACATCTCTCCAAATTTAATTGTATATTAAAAATAGTCCACCTGTGCCAAAGTACCAGTGGGGTACCAGGCAGCCTGTACTGTGCTTCTGCTTTTGTTTGACCACCATGCAGGTGTGGATGCAGCATTTGCAGAACTCTCGTACCACTTGTACAAAAACACCATCAGAATGGTCCTGAGAGTTTGTTCTGTGCCAGCGCAGCCCCTGCACAGGCCCAGGGTGAGGAGCAGAGCCCTGAGTGCAACAGCACAGTGAGTGGGGAGGGCTCCAGGCCTGCTGCTGTTGTGCTGTCTCTGCTTCGCTGCTGCTCTTAATGCCTTACTCAACTCTTTGCGGGGATTGTGTGTCTGTTTTCATTTGTTTGGTGTTTTTCTATTTGCAAACCTAACCCAGCTGGCTGAGAGACCACCTTAAAACAACTGCTGTGTGTTGTTGCTGCAAATGTTCATCGCGTATCTCCTTCCAGAAGATCAAAATCTTCCTTTTCCTATTTGCTCGGCAGAGTCAGGTGCCAAGAGTCAGGTCTTGCAGAGGTCCTTGGAAGCTGGTGATGGTTTTGTAGTTTCTTCCTACTCCTCCTTTGTCTGCTGTTTTATAGACCTGAGTAGAGCCAAGGGGACAAGGAAAAAAGCTCCACAGATAGTGAAGCAAATCTCTGCTCCGGCCAGCCAGTAAACTGAAAAAGAAAGGGGATTCACCTTGTTACTGTGCTTGTCCTTGCAGCTGTGTGAATGTCCCCAGAGCTGTTGTGCTCTCACAGTTCCTGCACAGCTGAGCAGAACTGCTGACCCCTTGGCTGAGCCAGAGAGTGCCAGGAGCTTGGCACGTGGCTGCACTCAGGAAACAAGTTCTGGCTTGCTTGGTGTTAACATTAGCCCAAGTTCAAGCTCTGAGGCTGCGTCCCCTTCCTCTGTCCCTTTAGCCCGAAATGCTCAGGGGCTCTGACCCCATGCAGGGGGTACCTGTTCCCCTTCTGCCCCACCTGGGCTGTCTGGTGCCAAAGAGAGGAAGGAGCACGAGGCCACACTCACCTGCAGCTGCCAGGATAGGTCCCAGGGCTCTGGCCAGGGCTCCCAGGCTCCTCAGGATGCCCATGACTCGTCCCTTCTGGCTGGCAGTGCCTGTGCAAGCAGAGTGTGACATTGTGGAGTTTGGGCATGGCTGGAGCTCTGGGAGCCTTGTTCTTTGGGGGTATTTCCCACTTGCATCTTCCCCTCCCATCGTTTCTCACCCAGTCCCCAGTCTGCACTTGCCCTCCACCAAGGCCCTCACAACTGCTTCACTGCATAAACACTGGGGCCTGGCACCAGTGCTTCACTGGGACAATTTGTAGTGCACGTTCCACGCCTCCCAAAAACCCCCAAACCTATCCAAAACAAAGGCCTCACATTGTACACAAGATGTTCTGAGAAGGCCCAGGTGTACAATAAACACAGAACTGTGGATGCAAGTTAAATAAGAGCAATATAAAAATGAGCAAAACCTTGCTTTTCCACCTCAGCAAGCACTGCAGTCCTGGCCTCCAGCTGCCCCAAAGCCATGTTATCCACAGCTGGCGCCACAGCTACATCTACTTTACAAGGTTACATAGCAACCAGTGCCAGAAGGTTTCTCAGAAGGTCTTTTCTAAGGAATTGGCAAGAAATTATTTCACTGCTGGCAGGGATGGCCAGTGTCTCTTTCAGAGAGCCCAGACTGTTCTCAGTGACGTTTGTGGCCTTTGCCCACTTCTCCTTCATCACCACCAGCAATGAGGTTGCTGCAGTTTCCCCATCACACTGGCCTGAGCTGTGTTACACAGCACAAAATTCAAGTGTGATACAGATGGTCACGCAGATCATTGCTGTTACTGCTGAAATTATCACTTTTATCACACAGGAGTGAGCCAGGGGGTGCTTCCTGTGCTCCCCTGCAGCAGGGCCTGAGATGGACCCACAACTCTTCCCGCTGATGCTTCACTCAACTCAAGGTCAGTTCCCTGTAATCTGAGCCAGGTCAGTACAAAAGTCAGTGATGTGGCCAAGGGCAGCCGGTCAGAGCAGGAAGGACACTCACCATAGCCTGACACCACTGCTGACAAACACGGGATGACAATGGCTGCAGCTGGAAAAATCCACAGAAGAGACTGTCAGTGAACAGCAGAGCTCAGAACAGACAAGAGCAAGAGTGACAAACATGTGGCCCAAAAGCGTTCCTGCTGCAGAGAAATATGTTGAGCTCTGGGCACTCTACCACCACTGAGTCACCAGGTTTAATCCAGTTCAGTGAAGGGAACACCCACTCCGAGCCAACCTGCAGGAAGAGCCCAGAGCTGTGAGTGCTCCGAGCAGATGTTTCACATCAGCATCCCTCATGCCGTGAGCCCACGGGACAGGGATGGACAGGGCAGAACAGCCAGCTGGCAGCTTTCCAAACCACTGTGCTCTTCTCAGGTGGAGCAGGGAATCGCTGCTGTTCCAAACAATGAGGTGGCCGTAGCCATAGGAGTGACGCTGTCCCTGTGCACACAGTGCACCACACTCAGGGACAAGAGGCAGCTACAGGCTCTCTTGGGAAAGAAGACAGTCACGTCCAAGAAGAAAAGGTTACAAAATTTTTTGGACACAAAAGACAAGAGTTGTTCAGCAATCACTGCCTTCTTACTGAAACAGGGGCCTTTTCTGCCAAGAAAGAAGTGCCTCAAATGTATAAAGCAGAAGGGAAGGGGAAGGGGAAGGGGAAGGGGAAGGGGAAGGGGAAAGGAAAGAAGGGACAACAGGAGAGCAAGAATGATCAAGGTTGCATAAACTTCAGGTGTCCCAACTGCTGGGCAGAGGGAGGGAGAGAAGAGGAGGAGAACCCAGGGGGCATTTCTAGCTGGCTTAACTGGGAAGAGGTGGAGTCGTCTGTACAGGAAGGGGCCAGGGAAGACTCAAACATGTTTAAACATAATGAACATCCCCTCTCACTCCTCACCTGTCAAACACACAGCTGGCCCCAGACAAATAATAGACTCAATAGGTACATTTTGTGGTTTACAGTCTACTACTAAGTCAAGCTGTACCATGCAAAGGAGAAGTCCACTTTTGTAGTAAGTTATATATGGAGCTGCTTAACAATAGTTAGCAGCATTGGTAATACCTGAAATCTCTTTTTAGACATCCATTAGATGGATCCAACCTCATTCATGACTGTTTCCATGAAGAACAGCTTAGGCTGGCAGAATAGAATTTATACAAACACTGAAAGCATCTGACCCTCACTCTCCTCAGTCCAAACACCCTCAGAGTGTGCAGGTCTCCAGCCTAAAGAACGATGCAACACCACTTAGGTACAAAGATTTGATGTCTTGCTTTTTTTCCTGAGCTGAGCTATTCAGTGAATATTTTGCTTCTAGGTCTGTTAAGAGGGGGTTAAAAAACCCATCCTCAAGAGCTCCACGATGAGACAGGACAACAGGGGCACTGGGGATGCTTCCAAATACCACCATGACAGCTTCCTGTGATACAAACAGCATCAGAAAAAAAACCCAGACACCGTTTCGTTCATATTTCATAAACCCAAGTGTCAACTTTCTGTTACTTGTAGTTTGAAATTAGATTAGAAGTGCATCTTTTTTAAGTGTGAATAAATATATGAAGAAAAATCATTTGTGCTTAGCTTGCAGTGCCTTTTGAACAGCTCACCGAAGGAGTACAGCAACAGTCCAGCACTCAGCATGGTCACATTTGCAGCCCATCCAATTAACAGGAACGCTGGAATCAGCAACATAATAGCCTGCAAAAGGAGTGAGTCACACGGTTACATCTGAGCCGAGCCTGTTAAAGCCTAACTCTAGGTGTCCTGCCAGTTCCCTTCGGGGGATGAGACAGCAAACAAGTTACAAGCAGAAAGCCCTTTCTTCCCAAGTAGACATTTCAGTCACCTGAATGGCCACACAGCAGCACAATGAACTTTTCTGTTCCCTCTATCACATGATTGCACACCACATACAAGTTCTCTCTCTACACATCTGTCGTGTCGGGGTTTTATCTCTCATTCTGTGTTGACCTGGACAGAAATCTGGCTTTAACTCTTCATCTCCTGAGCTGGCACAAGAGAAGAAAAAGCTTGTGTGCGGCAGGACTACAGCTCCTCTGCTTTTTCTCAGCATTATTGGCTGATTTTATCTTTCACTTTCGGATTTCAGTATCCAAGAGGAAAAAAGGCGGGGAGAGGGTATTCAAAGTCCCCAAAATAAAGAGCATTTTTCATCTCCTCCAAGAGCTGGACTTCCATTCCCCTGTGATGTCCCCCTCACTTACAGAGCTCCTGCAGAAAAGACAGATCAGATCTGCTTCGTGTGTGATAAAGGAAGGTATTCACTGCCACTGAGTGCCTCATTTTGAAGATTCAGTAATAATGAGCTACTGTAACCACTGTGCTAAGAGAGGCCACGTTTGCCATATGGTGCAGATTCACAAACTGCCAGAATAGCTTCAGCAAAAGGGGGAAGTCCCACAAAACCCACAGGCATCCATGGGAAAGAGTGCCCAGGGCTGGGGCTCTCTGCAGAGTGGACACGGGTGGTTCATGATGAGCCATCAGCCCAACAA